TCATTTATAATTAAAATAAACAAAATAGATAAAACTCACTATACATTAAAACACAGGCGACCGTTTCACTAACAGGTCGTAGCTCGTAAACGTCCCTAACAAAAAAATACTATAGTTAACTATAGTTTACTATAGACCCTTTTCCTGTGACATATTTTGCCTAGGAGTTATTCTCCTTAGCCGCAATCTTGTGGGGCAAAGTAGTGAATTCTCCTCTTTAAGAAACCAATTTTGAACATGCATGCAAGAAATATATGGGGTAAAATATTCACTATCTTATAATCATGTGTTAATAAATGCATTAACAAACGTATATTCAAAAGAAAAATAGCATTATCTTTACCTCAGTAACCAGTATAACAATATGAACTTGGTTGAATAATGAAGAGATCTGGGAATGTTGCCCTACAATATAGCGGCTAAGGGGAATAACTCCTAGACAACATGCGTCAAAAGAAAAGGGTCTATAGTTAACTATAGTAAATCAAAGTGTCAAAGTTTTCGCCAAAGTTTTTCAAAGTGTCAAAGTTTTCGTCAAAGTTTTTCAAAGTGTCAAAGTTTTCGCCAAAGTTTTTTAAAGTGTCAAAGTTTTCGTCAAAGTTTTTCAAAGTGTCAAAGTTTTCGCCAAAGTTTTTCAAAGTGTCACAGTTTTCGTCAAAGTCTTTCAAAGTGTCAAAGTTTTCGCCAAAGTTTTTCAAAGTATCAAAGTTTTCAATAAAGTTTTTTAAAGGACTTAGCGCATGGTTCCTTTATTTTTGAAATTTTGACAGAAATAGAATATATATGCATCGAATATAGGGCTGGGCAATAATATCGATATTTCAATATATTGCAATACAATGGCAAAAAATATCGTATCGCAATACGATTTTGTAATATCGATATATTGGCAATATGATAAGATTAAAGAATTTTGTCATTAAATATAAAAATGGACTTATGAAAGTTTGTTATTTAGCTAAATAGTAAGTCAGAAGTTGTTTTGTGGGAACATTTGAGAGCAGAACTTAAATTAAAATCAACAAGATTTTTTTTCTGTGTTGGTTACTTATCATAGTTATGTACATTCAGCATGTTAATTAAAGTAAATTTAGGAAGAAAATGCCATTTTTATTACATTGAAAATATTGCAATACATATCGCAATACAGTTAAAAGTATCGCAATATATCGCAATACGAAATCTCAGGCCAATACCCAGCCCTAATCGAATAATAATTTATTTCTCTCAAAAGCAAATAAAATTGCTTTAATTTAAAGTTGAATTCAATTAAAATTTCAATCGCTCTTTATGCATATTCTACCCGAGATTTTACGCGCCATATTTCTTGTGACGTCAAAGGCGACAATTCGAGCGAGAAAATGTGAAACAACTGTGCAGTCATTGTTTGGATAATCACCTAATTGGATGAAATAATTACCGTTATCTTGTCAAATGTGATGATAATAGGTGACTATTAGTGACAATGGTTTATTGTGCTGCCTATGGTTGTTCAAACACTCAGAAAAAGGGGAGCGGACTAAGTTTTTTCAGCTTTCAAAGTGATGCTGCACGGAGAAAAGTTTGGACATTTTACTGTCGGCGGAAAGGCTTCGTACCAACAAATAACAGTAGATTGTGCTCTAAACATTTCACTAGGTGTCAGTTAGAAAGGGATCCAGATAGAATGTTGGTAAATGGGTATTCCAGTGCAAGGATTTGGCTTCGCAGCGACGCTGTTCCAGATGTACCCCTCTTAATCAAGCCCCAGGATGAGAACGCCGCCATTGTTATCCCGTCTTAGAAGCCCCGGGGAGCTTTTTTTAAACGACAGCGGGCTGATGTAAGTGTACATTTGTATATCTTAATTAATTATTAAATTATTTATTAAATAATATAGCAAAAGTTCAGTAAGTCTAGAAAAAATATCCAGTCCTCGTCTCATGAGTGCACTTGCACTAGTAAAATTTGTTGTTACGATGACGATGTAAATAAATGTGAAGGCAATGCAGGAAAATGAACAATATTTTCCCTAAATGAGAAAAGATGAATTGTTTTCTATGAATGAGATTGAATAATTAATAATCAATACAAGATAAAAATATATACATGTTAATAAATAAATTGAAAAAAAGTCAATTTAAAATTTGAACAAATTCAGTCATGTAAAGGGTGTGATAACATTAAAAAAAATTGATGGGCTTATATCAATATCTGTACATCAGATACTGTACGTCATATTATGTGTATTTTGTGTCAATATTAAAAGTAACAAAAATGTTCTCAGATTCTCTGCCTAAATGTTCTACAAGAATTAGAGCCACGAAACGTGGAGGACACATCAACCCAGCACTACCCCCCAGATCCACAACCATTACCGGAGACTGCTTCAGATCCCGGAGCTGATACCACAGTCCCGGAAAAGGAAACATCCACCATCAACACCCCTATTGCTGCAGTGACTCAATCCAAGAAGTGTCAGGCATCTATTCAGGTTCCCCAGAGAACTAGAAGAATCCAGGTCTCCCTTCCTATATCATCAAGTGTTCAGACTGTGTCCACTGGAGTCCAATACTCCAGCCTTTGTGATGGTGTGTCATTGCAAGTGGCTGCAGGCTTAGCAACTTTGCCTGATCTCACCCCCAGGATCCTTACGACTCGGACTCAGTGAGTTATGAGGAGGAGGAAGACAGCCAGAATCCACATGACCCAGATTATGATCCGCTGGATGATGACATCTCGAGTGATGAGGAGATCGAGGATACCCAGGATATGCCTGTCACTTGTCCATTACGCACAGATGTCCCACCAGAGGAAGAGCGACAGTTTTTGGTATCCGAATCGTGCTTGGCCCAGCTGTTACAGAAATGTGGCTCTTGTGATGGTGTATGTAATTCTGTGTTGCAGTTCACAAGAGGAACTATGATAGGGACACTTTCCACTTGCCCTTATGGACACTCTTTCCAGTGGGAGAGCCAGCAGTGTCATTGTGGAATGCCATGGTCTAATATTCTTGTAGCTAGTGCCATAGTGTTTAGTGGATCCAATGTATCCAAGAGTTTGCGTCTCTTTAGACATTTGAAACTCACCATGATGTCAACATCAACCTTTAACCGGATTCAGACTGCCTATATGTGATTCCAGCCTCACTTTTTACTTGGGATTTTCATCAGGAAGAGCTTCTTCGAAACAGTGAAGGAAAGATCCTAACACTTGGAGGTGATGCTAGGTGTGATTCCCCTGGATTCTCAGCAAAGTTTGGATCCTACACACTCATGGATTTGGAGACAGGAAAAGTCATGGATTTTCAATTGGTTCAGGTACACACACATCATGCTTATGTGTAATTATTTAATATGTAAAATATAAATGTTGTTTGTCTATTATTTGTTTGTCACTACATGAAATTATTGTCTTATTATTGCAATGCCCCCCCCCCCATTAACATAATTGCCTTTATGAATACATGTATATGTAATCTAATATAACCCATTATTCATTCATATTTAATTATGTTTTTTATTGCATTTAGAGTAACGAAGTGGCTGGGACTACTCATATGGAGTTGGAGGGTTTGAAACGCAGTCTTATTAGACTTAGTGATGCAGGACTTCATGTCCGAACCCTGGTTACAGACAGACACGGTATGGTGAAGAAATACATGAGGACAGAACACCCAGACAAAAACCATTTCTTTGATGTGTGGCACATGGCTAAAGGTATATATATTAAAGTTATTTTGATTAAAATGCAAGTTAAAATTTTGACATTTTTATAAAACTACTAAATTTTTAATATACAGGAGTCTCAAAGAAGTTAGAAGCTGCAGCCAAAAAGAAAGATTGCCAGAACATCAGGCCATGGGTCAAAAGTGCAGTCAACCACTGTTACTGGGTGGCTGTCTCTAGCGGGGAAAATGGGGAACTCAAGGAGCAGAAGTGGGCATCTCTGACTCAACATATCGCTAACAAACATGATAGTTGTGAACATGGGGTATTCGCTGAAGATAAGCTTTGGCTTAAAGAAGGTATTACATCAAATTTTATCACATCTTTAGGTCACTCTGTAAAACTACTGAACTATTTAAATAGTTGTACAATGTGTATAATAAAAGTAATGTCCAATTTATATAATAAAACTTATCTAATTTTAAGTTATCAATGATTGACTATTGTTTCCCATAGGTTCAAGGGCCCACAAACTTTTTCGAGAAGTGGTGGAGAGTAAATTTCTGTTGAAGGACATTGGCAAGTTATCCCCACTTCATCGGACATATGGACTGGAGGTTTACCATAGTGTGGTCAACAGTTTTGCTCCAAAGAACACACACTTTTTTTTATCCTGCAATGATGGCCAGGTACGGTAATTTACAAACATAAAGCATGAACAAATGAATCATTTTCTTTTGATTTTAAAAGAATTTATTTTGATCATAAAATGAACCCATAAAGTTTTAAATATCTGAATTATGAATTATTTTAGGCTCTGTGTAGCATCACTACACTTTAATGAAAATGGAAGGAGACACCAAGCCTCCACAAGAGCAGGTGAAGCCCAATGGCAGCTGAGTTATCCTAAGGCAAAGAAAGGGGAGCATGCTGTAGTCAAACCACACAAAACTCGAATCACTTATGGTATGTTATATTTTTTTTAGATAAGAAATTCTGTATATAACCAAACACAAAAATAATAATTAAGATAGAAAAATTTATTAAAACCAAATTTATATAATTGTTTTAGTGATATCAGCGTGTAATATCAAATATCAAAGTTAATTTCATTGTTGTAGAAACTTATGATTGTTAAATGTCAACATTAACTTTAACAATTACAGATTATGTTGATCTGTTGAGGATGAATTTGGTGGAGCGTCGGAGACAGTTCCCTTCATATTCAACGGCTTCTTCAGATGCGCGTGTATCTCTAGGGTATCAGCCACCACCTTTGACCTCTTCATATGCTGCAGTCAACAAACAACAGCTGATTATGTCAAGGCGCACCAGATTCGCTAGGTGATGGACTTATACTGGTTGAGGGTACTGGAATCCGGTGTAGTATTCTGATGGAAACCTATCACGAATCTTGTTGACAACACATGATGGTAGTACCTTTCTGTTGCCGCGACCAAGCCTATGCCAGACCCAGAATACAAACCTCCTGTATGCAATGTGACGAAGAACTCTGCAAATTGATATGAATTATTGAATGATTTTTAAACTGATTGTATTGTTATAGCTTAATTCTTCTTTTAAACAATGTAAATCATGTTAATTAATTAAAATTTATAAAATTCATTTTTCCATTAAATGTAATTTTGAATGTAAGTTTGCTTTATTAAAATATTATGATCCATAGTCAATAGTAAAATAAAATATATTTTTTTTTTAGACTTTGCCCATTGAAGTTTGATACATATGCAAGCAAGATAAATATTTTCTTCCTTGCCATGAATTAGAAATAGTTATGCTTGTATGTACAGTTTCTATTCTTACTCATTCGTTGGCTCGTTATCATCAAGGGGCCCCTCCATTTGGATGTATTCATGCAGGTTGACCTCTAATACCCTCTCATTGAGGCAATTGTCAATAAAGGTCTGGTGTTGTGTGATGCATTCTAGGTTGCAGTCCTGGCAGATTCTTTGAATGAGTGAAACTTCTGCACAGCAAATGCATTCAATACTGGTCCTCATGACCTCACAAAAGCCACACTCGCACCTGAAACAAATGCATGTAATTTTTAGCTCTACTGGTCAGAGACCAGAAGAGCTTATGCGATAGTAATGCGTCCGGCGTCTGTCCGTCTGTCTGTCTGTCTGTCCGTCTGTCCGTCTGTCCGTCTGTCTGTAAACAATTTTTCAAAATGCTACTCCTTTTACAGTTTTGATCTGATTTCAATATAACTTGGCACACAAGTAGACTGCACTAAGATACATAATTCTGTGTATCGGTTTTTGATTTTGATAAACGGTGTTGCCGTGGTAACTAAAAATAGAAATTTCTGTGAAATTTCTTTAAAATGCTACTCCTCCTACAGTTTTGGTCTGATTTCAATATAACTTGGCACACAAGTAAACAACACTAAGATACATAATTCTGTGTATCGGTTTTTGATTTCGATGAACGTTGTTGCCGTGGTTACTAAAAATAGAAATTTCTGTGAAATTCCTTTAAAATGCTACTCCTCCTACAGTTTTGGTCTGATTTCAATATAACTTGGCACACAAGTAGACTACACTAAGATACATAATTCTCTGTATCGGTTTTTGATTTTGATAAACGGTGTTGCCGTGGTTACTAAAAATATAAATTTCTGTGAAATTCTTTCAAAATGCTACTCCTCCTACAGTTTTGGTCTGATTTCAATATAACTTGGCACACAAGAAGACTACACTAAGATACATAATTCTGTTTATCAGTTTTTCATTTCTATGAACGTTGTTGCCGCAGCCGTGGTTATTTCTGTGAAATTCCTTTAAAATGCTACTCCTCCTACAGTTTTGGTCTGATTTCAATATAACTTTGCACACTAGCAGACTACACTAAGATACAAAATTCTGTGTATCGGTTTTTGATTTCGATGAACGGTGTTGCCCTGGTTACTAAAAATAGAAATTTCTGTGAAATTCCTTTAAATTGCTACTCCACATACAGTTTTGGTCTGATTTCAATATAACTTGGCACACAAGTAGACTACACTAAGATACATAATTTTCTATATCTGTTTTTGATTTCGATGAACGTTGTTGCTGTGGTTACTAAAAATAGACATTTCTGTGAAATTCTTTGAAAATGCTACTCCTCCTACAGTTTTGGTCTGATTTCAATATAACTTGGCACACAAGTAGACTACACTAAGATACATAATTCTGTTTATCAGCTTTTGATTTCAATAAACGGTTTTGCCGTGGTATCTAAAAATAGAAATTTCTGTGAAATTCCATTAAAATGCTACTCCTCCTACAGTTTTGGTCTGATTTCAATATAACTTCGCAAACTTGTAGACTACATTAAGAACATAAAGAGACTTTATCAAGGATCATTATTCTATCTATTGCTGTTGTTAAGTTTCAATTCCCAACTGCTGAAGTACTTTTCTCTTCCTTTGCTATAAGTACAAGCCAGTAGAGCTTCAGTCTCGACAGAGACTTCTGGTTATAAAAATAGATTTGTGGGGGGGGGGGTATTAAACAATCAACAAGTAGATAAAATTAAAAGGCCAGAAGCAGAAGTCACTTAATTATTTCTTATGAATGACATACCTCCTGAATTTTTTAATTTACACACAATCATTTTGAAAAATGTGCTCACATTCTTTATTGACCCCCACCCTCCTCCTTTATGGGATTTGAGAAAATGGTTTGATTTATTAGTATAATGATTAAAAAAAAACGTTCAGTAATTTAGACTAATATCGTATTCTGATTTTGATTACCGAATTTGTCCATCTGTATATGAGTATTTATTTTATGTATGATGACATGACACCAAATAAATACCGGTACTACTACTATCTCTCTCTCCATCTCCACCTCTCTCTCTCTCTCTATGATGCGTATTTTCTAGTTATTCAAAATCGTACTTTAATACTAGGTTCAAAGTGTTATATCTTTATTCTTAGGAAAAACATATAAAATTCGTATACTATTACGATAGATTAATGAGAAAAATAAGGTTATACGAACGAAATATGACAAACCATGCTGTATTTCCAAGGCGAGTTGTTGCCCTCGTCTTCCTCACTTTCTTCGCTGTTCTCTTGCTGATTTTGTAGATTTTCAGCTGCTAGCGGCTCGAACATATATGGTTGAATATCTAACCTATCAGGGATGTCAACAATATCAGCAATTTGGTCGTCCATAATCAGAAAAGTCGGGTAGGGGTTTGTTAAGAATAACGTGAACAGATGATCGGTATTGTCGCCTTTGACGTCACAAGACCACGTGACCCGCAAACTGATTAACTTTTTTCTTCCAAATCGGAGGTTACATTTGAGCTGATCATTTTCTTAATTACTGCAGTTTATCAACAATGCAAACAGAAAATTTATAACGTGTAGTCAGAAGGAAGGTATATGCATTAAATTTTATAATAATTGAGAACCATGCGCTAAGTCCTTTAAAGTGTCAAAGTTTTCGATGAACTTTTTCAAAGTGTCAAAGTGTTCGATAAAGTTTTTCAAAGTATACAAGTTTTCGATAAAGTTTTTTGAAGTATCAAAGTTTTCGATAACCTTTTTTCAAAGTGCTAAAGTATCCAAGTTTACGATAAATTATTTCAAAGTGTCAAAGTTTTCGATAAAGTTTTTCGAAGTATCAATAAAGTTTTCAAAGTGTAAAAGTTTTTGCCAAAGTTTTTCAAAGTGTCAAAGTTTTCGCCAAAGTTTTTCAAAGTGTCAAAGTTTTCGCCAAAGTTTTTCAAAGTGTCAAAGTTTTCGCCAAAGTTTTTCAAAGTTTTCGCCAAAGTTTTTCAAAGTGTCAAAGTTTTTGCCAAAGTTTTTCAAAGTGTCAAAGTCTTCGTCAAAGTTTTTCAAAGTTTCAAAGTTTTCGTCAAAGTTATTCAAAGTGTCAAAGTTTTCGTCAAAGTTTTTCAAAGTGTCAAAGTTATCACTATAGTAAATCAAAGTTTTCAAAGTGTCAAAGTTATAACTATGGTTAACTATAGTAAACTATAGTTAACTATAGTATTTTTTGTTAGGGGTATTCTGAAACTTGAACATAGTAGTAAGTGTGTTTCACTAAGCGTTACGATTTCCAAGTCACGATTAAAGTTTATCGTTAGTCTTCGAGCAGTCAGGTCAGTCTTCAAAAACTCACATGCAAGTGAGTTCATGAAAAATGTGAGACCCCCCCCCCCTCCCGAAAATATGAGCTAGAATCGAAACGATTCGTTACTTTCTGACATTTCTGTCTGCACCTCATTAATAGGAAAAGAGTATCAATTAATTTCCGATAGAACTCTAAACAAACCTTATACCCTCCCAGTAATTTACTAATTCACTTTCAAACAAATCTCTGATGTCATTTGAAAGTTCGTTCTAAGCAATTAAATGTATTAAAAACATGGAAAAAAAAATATACCGTGCCGCGGCGTTTATAGGTCAAATTTGCAGTTATTTAGAACTGACAGCGACCGACAGTAAATGACACCCTGCCAGAAATATCAATCCCCACTCCTACAATCTCCCCTGGTATTTCTATATTTTCTGTAATATTCCTACATTCCATCATTTATTTCAAACATTGATATTTTTACTCTAAAATGAAAATATTTACATACCTGAATTCTGCCAATCAAGTAAAGCCTACCCATTTAGTACTCTGCTTCATCTTGTTCAACCAGGAACTGATGTAAACTTCCGGTGCTTTGATACTCTTTTTCCTAATACACTATATTATTCAAGACCGAGTCCGATCTTAAATCTGACACTTATTTACATTATTATACATATACTCGCAACTTAGAAAATACATATAAATATAATTAAAATAATCCTGTAAAATTTCCTTCAAGAACTCAATATACCTTTACCCTAAAAACAGCAAAAATACAATAAGAAATCAGAATATGTCTGCCTATTGTTAGCTACAAGTCGCTACATGTATGTGAGATACTTCTTTTTTCTGTACAAATAGATATGTAACGCTATTGATTAGTATGGTCATTCAGCTTTCATTTTCATTCTTGTTTCCTCATTCTTCATTCTTGTTTCATTCTTCTCTCATTTCATCCTTGTTGCATAAAAACATAAATTTCTCTTTTCTAATTTATATCTAAATCACTGGATAGATATTGTCACTATTGCCTTTTACGACATTTGACGCTGGATTAGACACTAAGATTGTTTCTGTCGTCATATCCATTTCTAGAGACTGATGAAAAAAATGTTATTTCGATATTTCTACTCAACATTTTTTGATCATTTAAAATTGTATACAAATCCAAAATGGCCTTATTTAGATTTTTTAAAAATACTGATAACTTTTCATCGTTAAAGTAAATACGGCGCTTTTATAATATCTAAATAATCATTTTTGTGATTATGTACCTGCTATTTATAAATTCATAAAAAAAAAAAACAACAACAACAACAAAAAAAAAAAAAAAAAAAAAAAAAAACGAGTTTCTGAATCAGTTGATCTTATTATAAACAATCATGCCCATTCCTAATTAACCATTATTTTGTTTCTTGCATAATTACATTGCCTCTTTGTTTATGTAATGTTCCTTTCAGAAATATATCGACGCAATTACTTCCCTGTAAAGAGTTGCAAAAATAGAACAGTACTCGACATCAAGGACCTTTTTACCTTCTCGTTCCAGGGTCCGTCTTCATAAAACTTTGAGAATTTCGAATTCTCCAAAAAAATTCTCAACTCAACTCATGAGAATTACTCAGCTGAGAATTTTAGAATAAAAGAGTTTAAGAGATTTTTATTTTTCACAACTTTTTGTGACGGCCGCCTGAGTCTGAGAAATTTGGATTTGAGAAAATTCTCAGACTTGAGAGCATTCTCAGACTTAAGTATGTTTTATAACAACGGACCCAGCTGTTTCTTCGATCTCATCCGAAGAACCGGTCTCCACCTCCGGCAATATATAATTGTTAAAAAGGCGTCGTTTAGCTGCATATGGGTTTCTTATTGGGTCTCCTTTCAACAGCTGGGCGGGCATGGATCTAGGGTGTTTCAAGAGAAGTGCCATACCTGTTCTTTTTCAGACCTAGGATGTGCAAATAAACGGTCTGGTAAAACCGAGTTCTTGTATTACTTGTAATGTATATAATTTTAAATTCAAATGGATGATCGAATTGCAATGGTAGTATTTATTTGATGTTTGTAAAAGGCAATAAACTAAAAGATTCATTTCTTTTTTTTTTCTTTCTTTCTTTTTTTTTTTTTTGGGGGGGGGGGGGGGCAATGTACAGCATATCTCTCAAAATTATAAAGTGTAATAATTTACTGTGACACTGATATCTGAATTTTAAAAAAAAAGCAATAAAAGTAAAAGAATACAGTAAATTAGAAATGATGGACAAGGACTCCCGACTAAAATTTAAATGCATTTTATTCATTTAATAGAAAACAAATAATTTAGATAATTATTTCAAATACATGTTTTTAAATCATGATTAGACTTGATGAAAAATCATTAGTTTAATTTCATTTGATTATTGATTTAAAAAGTTGAGATATCAAAATGTGATCAATCTTATAAATATATACACACTACAAAAATGTGAAGACGGCATTTAAAGGTACTTGGACACAGATTTGAAGTTATTATTTTCTCTATAATATTACGACTTATATATTTTAATAGCATTTCACACAAAAATTAATTAAAAATCTTATTTCGTTTAAAAGATATTGAAATTTCAAAATTTTCGGCGGGTTTGATTGACATATCCTTGCACTCTCACAAATTTAATTTTATTCTTAATCCTTAGGAAAAGTGGCAATCTCGTTTTGTATAAATGAAAAATATTAATACTATAATCCAGAAATTTCAGAGTAGACACGTTCGAAAGTAAAACAAACACACAATATATTGTCAGTCCGTGCAGTTGTGGTAAGCAGACAGTGACGATTGAACGCACCCGGTGAATTCTAAATATTAACAATAACAGAACTCGAGCCCTGTTTACAAAAACTGTGTACATAACACGAGTGTGCTCGATTTGCTAAACTCTGTACGCATCTCTTAGTTCGGAATGACGATACTTGTGAAGGTGTTTTGCTTTCTAACATTTCTACTCTGAATAAAATTATTTTTCTTGATAAAAGTTTTAATATTTCTCATTAAAACACATCAAAATTGCCACTTTTCCTAAGGATTAAGAATAAAGTTAAAAGAATGAATCCTCTTAACACTGCAATCTCGCCCCTTTTTAAATGCAGATTTTTACCCTTTTAAATAATAACATTGTTATCTTATAGCTAAAGTCCTCAAGTATAGTCTGTATAGATACTAATAAAGGATTTTTTAGGAAAGAGACTTTCAATATATACATGATATCGTTTAAATAAAGTCGCATATTTCACTGTAAAACTTCGCCATTTCGCGTACGGCTATATATAGGCCATAGTACTAGAACTAGCATTTGAATGAGAAGGCGGGGCGTCTATCAAGCGTGCGATTAGTATGAATACATTAGTGTGTGTTCGAAGTGTTCTACGTTTTATGATGAAGTGACACCTAAAAGCCCCATTTTTAGTGCAAGAGACCGAACACATATAAGCATCCCTTTTTTTTAATTAGTCAGGCTTAATTTTTTTCTGCTTAACGTACGAGTTATATTTGAAATTATTTATATATAAAGTATTTTATTTATATATAAATACACACAATGGAATTTGTGAATAGAACGTATAATGCAGGATTCACTCTTTTTCATACTTAAAACTTTATTTTTATAGAGATAATAATCAATCCATTAAAGCTTATAATTAATTAGCTTATTACATGCACGTGAATAATTTTTCATATCATGCACATATAATATAATTTTGCGAAATTGGTGTGCTACAACAAATACGGTTGAATTGTGATATAAAACTTCACTGTGTATGAAAAATAAATTCCCAAGAAAGTGAAAATTAAACTTCAGTTTAACATCAATATTATCGTTGCTGGATATAAAAAAAAAAACATCAGTATTAGACAAGTGTACTTTGTACAGTCCAGATTGCATTGTTAAAAAAAAAATCTCGTCCTCTAGTGAGATAAACAATAAACCATTTCAAATAAAAAAAAAGATTACGTCCTTTTTCACTCGATTTTTTGTTACATACTAATACTTATATTTAAACCTTGAATTGTTTGTAGATTTTGTACCGATGTGAAAAGTTATAACATTTA